TTTTTTGTGGTGCCAGGGATTGAACTCAGGACCCTGTGCTTGCTAGGCAGGCACTTATTCTACTGAGCTATCTCCCCAGCCCCCACAAATAATTTTTACCAGTGTGTTTCATAAAACTTTTAATAAGCACATATTGATTGTAAAATTTTAGGATTCTTAGGTACTTAAGAGTTTCAGAGATTACATTGCCCTCAGGAAAAGTAAGAAACAAAAACTGAATCCAAATCAAAATCTGTCATTAAAATATACCTAAAATAACACAGTACTAAGAACAAATACTGAGACAAACATTTCACTTACCAAGACAAGTATTCTGCTTAGTCTGGTTCTAAATGACTCTTCTACCCAGAGAAAGTAATCTATTTGATTAAAAATAGGCTTTCACCTAATAAACTTATAAAGGGCAAACTTATCACTCACCAAGCCTTAAAAAGTTTAAATAGTGCTCAGGGAGCAAGGAGGCTTCTTGTGTATCCATGGAAATGTATCTCAGAGGAATAAGCCAGGGCCGCAAAGCCTAAAAAGCAGGGGCAACACCTCATAAACTCGCCTCAGCTCTTTAAGCTCATCTAGCCAACCCACAACCTGGGTCCCAAACCAAAGCTGAACTGAAAAGCCAGCTGTAGACAAAAAGCTGCTTGCAAATGCAGTACTTGCCACGATTAGGTCTTAGTCAACCTTCTGTGTTCATTCCTGTGTCCCTGGATACGCTTGCTGGCTTCACTATTAGGCTTCTATTCAGTCAACAAACTGGAACATATTTGATGATAACACAGCTGAAGCTTAGGAAGAGATACCCAGGAACTGGAGTGTCCCTCTGTTCTGGACTGCATGCTGTGTGTCCTTGTGGTCCAGCTTTTCTGCCTTCAATTCACATAATAACCATTTGAGAGCTCTCAAGTTTATATCTCTACCAGAAATTAGCAAGGATACTGCCCATATCCATTAACCCTGCCTATTGAATCTTCCCTGATTCCTCCTGGCCACTTGAACCAATACACATATTTTAACAACCATCTCTAATTCCTTATATTCATGAAAGCAAGGTAATTCCTCTCTGGACACAGAAGCCCACATACAAGTATTTTGACCAATATTTTGATACAGCAGAAACCATGTGTTACTGTTTATGTATAGTTGTCCCCCCCAAAGCCTCATGCAGTCTTGGGGCAGCCTCTGGAGTTTGTGATTGATTACTGTGGGTGTGGATGCTGCCCCTGCTCTGGGGCAGGTAATTTGCATGACAATGTAAGGAGGGAAGAGAAGCTAGCTGCTTGAGCTGCTGCTACCTCTCCCTTGCACTCTTGCTCTTTGCTGCTGCCATGAAAGGTTGCTTTCTGCTATGTGCTGCTCTGTGTTGGACCCAGCTGAGGATGGACTGAAACCTCCAGTAACTGTGAGCTAAATAAACCTTTCCTTCCTTCATTTTGAGTGTCAGGTATTTGTCCCAGCAACGAGAGAAGAGTAACTAAGACACCGTGTGATGTCTTTTATCCTATATGTTGCTGGCAGGTAAATCTTGACCATCCAAGTACAAATAGAAGCTATGGAAAGGATATATATTTGTCTTCAGTCTTTCAGTATACTTAGCATAGGACTTGAAATCAAGTGATCTGCTGAAGTGTAATTCATGATTTCTACTTTTATTTCTCTAAACTATGTTTTTGTATTAAAAAGGGTAAAACATTAGAAATAGAAATCTTGTTAGCAACAATGCTTCCTAATCTGCCATGTACAGATTAGACATTTCAAATTCGATATTTATAACTGGTCACTAACCAGGATCTGAAACATAGAAGCCATCAACATAACACTGCACTAGCTGACAGTCATGGATGGCCTCACTGTCAACACCTGCCATTTACTCCTAGTTTTA